ATTATAGTTATATATAAAAGGTTTATTTTATATTTTTATTACTATTTAACTTATAGAATACTTAATAAATCTTTAGAAGAAGTATTTTATTAACTCTTAATAAACCTCTTATTATTACTTTAATATCTAAGTATAAATATTCTATTACTATTATAATAGTAGTTAGAATATACTTATCTCCTTATTACTACTTATATATTATTTTTTTAAGGAGTACTTATATTATACTTATATAGTAATTACTTTACTACTAAGGTATACTTTTAGTTATTTAAGATAGAATAATTATAAAACTAGCTTTATAAGCTTATATACTTAATTACTTTATTAATAANAAATTATTAATTATCTCTTTCTATTTAACTAGTATTACTCTTAATTAATTTAGTTTTAATATAAAGTTATAAATATTTTAATAAAACCTTAAAAGGAATAGTTTTATATTAAATATAAATTCTTATAGTTTATTTATATTAAAATATATTTACTAACTATTTAGTAAAGTATTACCTTTTTAATAAGATATTTTAACTTATATTAATTATTTAAAATAAAATAGAAGTTATAGAATTATAAGATAATAAGCTAGGAACTTTAATTAAAAAAGGTTTAAAAGTCGTAATAGAGGTTAATTTAGTATATTAACTATAGTTTATTTCTCTTAAGTTCTTAAGAAATAGAGATTTTACTATTAAAGTTAAAGTATTATTTTAGCTAAGGTTTTACTAGGCGCTTATTAGTAACCTTACTTAGTAATCCTTATAAATTAATCCTTATTTTATTATTATATAACTTATACTATAGTTCTTTTATTTTAAGTAAGTCCTTATTATTCTTATAATCCTATAGTATAGATATTTTATTTTAATTACTTAATATCTAAATAAGGTTATTTAGCTATTATCCTTATTTATAGGTTATAATACTACGTTATAAAAGGCTTAGAACTTACTATTTATCTCTACTAGCATATTTTATAGATATCCTATAGATAATTTCCACGCTTTTATAGGAAACTTCTACATCCTTTTTAGCATCAACGCTATCCCCTACTACTAAGCAGCTCTGAAACACCTAGTGACCGCGTGAGCTTCAACTGCCACTACCGCTCGAAGTACTTTTAGCTACAGGGACTAATTCCCACCAAGATAGCTAGCCCCCATAGTCCCCTCGCAGACTAGTAAGTCCTACAACATATCCTAGAAGAACAGGAAATTGCTTTTCATCCTTGTAATACCCACTACCTGTTTCAACATACACGAAATCTCGTCAGCGTTCAGGACCTTAAACTTAGTGCGCTGTGAGACCGACCAACTTATGCTCATACTGAGATTCACCATTGTTGTTGAGGGATAACCCAGCGCCATCTCCTTGGTTTCCCAGAACCTCCCAATCTCGACTGGCGACATCCCCTTCCTCCTTACTGCCGGCTGGATCTTTGCGCTGTCATACACTACCATCCTCATGGCAACCAAGGCGCTGATGTCGTCGTGCAAGAGATTGAGACGTCGTAATTGTTGATAGCGTCTATGAAGGACCCTCCAACAGCCTCCGGGCTGTTGGACTTCGACTCATGAGCTTCACTGACCAATGCGGCTGACGCATTCGTCATCAACATCATGACGCTCATCCGGAAGCCCTTGAGTTTTACCATCCTGGCAGAGGCTTTCGCACACGAGACTCTTCTCGCGATGTCGGCCGCCCACAAATATTCGCTGTTGCACAGGATGTGCACGGTCTGCCGTCCCATGCTCAAGGTCTGGAGCTTTACTGATGTACATGCAGCTGTGAAAGGGGTAGGAGCTTGGAAATTCTTCAGCATGTCCTCGAACTTGGTTCACAACTTTCTGATCACCATCCACGATATCAAAACCTTGGTATACTCCGTCGGACTGGGGCATACGACGCCGTTCAAAGGCAGGGCGTCAAGGTCCGCACAACTGTCGCGGATGTTGTGCGAGATGACAGAGAGCCCCCTGTCTGGGAAGCCGATTACATATTGATTTGACAGAAGATGGAGGCTCTGCTCTGGCGAAGCAACAACATGAATGGCTCCTAGAGATGGGGCTGATGCGCCGCCCTACGTCGCGGTCAAACGAGTATCTCCCCCTTGATGTTCCTCGACTCTGATCTCATAGACGCTTGATGATGACTTGGGCAGAACTTGTGTGGGGATGAGCAAGGCAAGCGCCCAAACGGCAGGACTACATCGCTGGTGGGACATCCCACACGAACAGAAATTCTGCCTGTGTGGGCATCCAACTGAACTCCAGATGTTTTCCATGTCCCTAGAGTCTGTGACAGAGTTGCTAGCACGCACCAGGACCTCGTTGTGTGGCACGCTGCCTAGTCCTCGGCGGGGAGAGGATGAGTAAACTCGCGGCCGAGTTTAGGCACCGTGGGCCAACCCCACGATCTTGGTCAACATGTTCCTGCTCTGTGCTCGACATCGAGAGCACTCAAAGGGGATGTTCTCTCGAAGCACTTCCGTAGGATGTACAGCGCCCGTATGTCGCCGACGAGGAGCGGAGTTGTGCGCGTGGTTCTTTTTGCAATGATCGTAGTCAGAGCGATGCCTACTTAGTGACACGGGGACTCGGAGGGCGAGCTTCCGGTGAAGAGATGAGATATCAACTTGCTGAGCTGGCCACTATTAAGAATTGATGGCGGAGAGCATCATGACAGAGCTCCCTGGTTTCAGAAAATTGGTTGAGAACCCATGCTACGCCGGCCTGAAAACGCTAGGAGATGAGGGCAAGAGTGATCAAGTCGAATGAAAGGCTATCATCATACTTCATGTGTGAGAAGGTGGCTGCAAACACATTGAACGTCGCCGACGAGCCGAGCGTCTGACCGCTAGCCCACCTCTCCCCAAGCCCCCACATGGGTGGCGAATTCTCCTTCCTCCGCGCCGTGGCCCTTCTCGCCTAGATAGGCTCCTTCGCCCCAGCCGTCGCGTTCTTCCTGGCCCTCACCGACGTAATCAATGTCCCCATAGGCGCCCGCGATAACCTCGCCGAAGGCGCATCCTTATTCATGGTTGAGGTCTCCGAGACGGCACACGTCCTTCGTGCCGCTATGCCGCGCTTGCTCGTCATCCCCGACGAGCTCGGTCGCGGCATCTCGACCCACGACGATGCCGCCATCGCGCACACCGTGCTCGACCACGTTGTCCGCGAGAACAAGTTCAGGCCAGTGAGGGTATGCAAAGACTAGGGGCAAGGTTTGCATACACCATGGCAAAGATGAGAAGCATGATGCATGAAAAGAAAACAGTATGTTCCCATGAGGGCGACCTGGTGGTTGATCAGGTCAGCTCCATAGCAGGCAACGTGGACTTGACATCCTCTCGTATACAAGGGATAAGCCCGCGTGAAAATCTGTAGCCGACTTTGGGATACACAAGGGAATCTCACTGTGATGGATGGGGACACTTGTCTTGCAAGGAAAGAAGAAAAGAAACAGGGGCTAGAACGCGAGTTTCGTGTCTGGTCTGCGACAGAGGTGATTCAAGGTGACGCCTGTCAGCAGCATACGAATGAGAAAGAACGAGGAAAAGCTGCCGTGTGACTGGCAGCAAGCGGAATGGTTCAAGCTTAGATATCGTAGGATTGACTTGATCAAGGGACCGAGTTCGAGATGAGCGAAAGCTGGCAGTTCCCTATGACACTCCTTTAAGAGCGGTCATGGTGATCGGACCTGCCAGCGGCGCTCGGAATGTGAGCGATCGACTTGAGCCGCGTGTGCCTTGGACCCGGGCTGCGCGAGCACCGGCCAAGAAAAGTGACGCAGACGGCACACTGCGACAAGATGGATCGGGGAATTGCAGGGAGAATGGGATCGCAGAAGCTCTCTTCAGATGACTCGCAGGTCGGGCAACCTTGAGCCCTCCTCGATTCCGGCACTTGCAGGATTCGTGGGAGCCAAAGCAGAAGACCGTCCTCTTGCGCCGATTGCCTCACTGGATCCCAGTGTGGGTCGGAGGCGGCGCGGAGGAGAGCCAGGAGTTGTGACTGGAATAAGTTTGAAGCGTGTCGTGGAGGAAGCCAGGGGCTTTATTGAGGACACGACAGAGAGTCAAGGCACACAATACGCATGACAGTCCAAGACGGGCGCATGCACTGTTGAAGTGGCGAAATGATCGAGTCCGCGTCGCACACGCATGAGGTCGTCAGCAATCCTGTCCACCCGCATTCATCCATGCACTTTGAAGTAGTCAAACCGCGAGAGCCGCGACAAGAGCTCGAATCGCACGGCATTCAGCAACCTTCGGCGGCTGCCCGACCACATCAGGGCACGCTTCGTCCCAGGCTTTTAGCCAGCCACTTCGGCCAGGACAAGGTATCTCCGTATTTGAGCCATCCCCCGCAAGGCGACGATGGCATGCCCTGCCCAAAGCGTGATTGGCCCAACAAACGTATGTTCTTGCTTTGGCTCGGGGGAGTGTAGAGTGGATCTCGACGGTTTCGCGGGCGTCGAGGCCGGAAGGGAGCCTTTGCGCCTTGAGCGCATTGTCACAAGCGGGAAGCGATGGATCGAAAGACGTTGGCAGCGTCGGCGGCTTGTATGGAGCATTCAAGCCCGGAGCAGGCGGACGTGTTCGGGTTGGAGCGGAAGACGACGTCGGGAGCAAGCTGGGTCATTCGGAGAATCGGAATTCCTATGTGGAACTAGGAAGCTGCACGACAGTCAGATCGCCATCCCAAATACAGGAGGTGCGTGATTGACCAAACTGACCCAAGCTCCTCCCAAAGTATTATCACGGCGATTATGGTGACCGCGTCGGTATCGGTCGTATCGTACGCTTCAGCCAATTAAGACCAGGCCGGTAGTGGCCAAGGAGATGGACATGGTACCTGGGGTTCAGGATCTCGGGCCAAATCGCATACCAGATCCTTCAGACGCGTCCCAAGGTAGAGAGAGTCCTTGAACAGCACAGTGGTACATGTAGAAACCGAAGGCGTCGCAGTGCTCCATGATTAGTAGCTGCATTCGATCCATGCAATGAGTGTATTCAGGGTGCACTTTGGTGTCGAGAGGTCGGGGTTGAGCACGTGTGCAGCCTGAGGGGTACATGTACAGGTTCTCGTGTACTTGTACAGCTTGACGGGTACAAAACAAGCAGATCGGTCTGTGTTCCCGGGACAGGTACGCTCCCTAGGCAGCTGCCGCACGGTCCAGACCCCACTTAAGGCAGGAAGGCCATCCAGGTGGTACTTCTCGGCATGCACAAAAGCGGCGCTGTTCCGCACCGCCACCAAGCCTAACTGTCCAGGCCTGTCAGTGTCCATTCCAGAAGGTTTGCACTGTCTAAGCCACACGCGGCACTGACCACTGAGACAGCCACACCCCACTTCTCCGATTATGACGATCCCGCATCGGCCCCGCATCGGCCGGGCTGCCATCGAATCGCCGGAGCCATGTCATCGAGAAGCTCCTATGTATTGGTGCAGCTTTGGCGGACCTCGGATACCGCCCATAATATTCAGAATTTGGGCCGCCGAGGTGATGCGTCGATGACAAGGTCCAGCCAAGTATATCATCAAAGCAGGTGCAAGGCAAACAGCATCCACCGTATCAGGAGCTAAGCTGGAAGCTGTACACAAGTATGCTGACTAGACGTCCTAATACACTATGGATATTTCCATTGAAAGCTCTGTTTAGTGTTATGAGCTATGTTTGTATTAAATATGCAGCTTCTAGAACCCTTTAAATCAGTATCTGTTAAATGAGAGTAGCGCTACTGAGGAAAAGCTTGAGTATAATGACCGTTCGAACGAAACTAGTGATTATCTTGATTTCGAAAGCTATGATATAAAGATTCTCCTGATTGATGAGCGCCAGGTAATTAGGCGTGAAGTGTGATTGTGAGAGGATGGGATCATCACGCGATGGGAGACCCCGTTCAATATTGGTCGTCAGTATGTGCAAGTGTTGAACCGCCTATGATGAGACTTCCTTCTAATGAGACCGTTAAGCTCTCGTCTTGCTGTGAATAAAACTCTCGTCATGCTACGCGCGATTGAAGTGTTGGTTGGGCAGACTGGTCTTGGAGGGTCACTATTGAACTTCGAGAGATGGTGGTATCAGCCACTGCTGACATAAAGTGCTACAGCTTCAGATATTAACTATTTCACTTTTTGCATGCGACTACAGCGCACCCCCCCCC